TGGAGTGTTGTGGTATTATTCGGTGTAGAGACTTCCATCCATCTTACACTGCCACACTATTGCTATAAATTAAATGACTTTACAGTTTTTACCGTGTATATCCGGTATCAGCAGTTGAAAGTTAATCTTCTCGATTGCTTATGAAATTGAAAGATATTGGCAGCACACGGGTTGCACTAAGTTGCAAATTCTAGAAATCCCAGCTTCTTTCATTTGTCTCAATCTATGTGAACTTCCCAATTGTTTTGTTCCGTTCAACTGCGCACCAATTCCCATATTTGCGTTCTAGTCTCCTTAGTTTATGGCTTTGTTTATAACATCTTTTGGTAGTTTCCAATTCGTCACTAATTTCATCCGCGTATTCATCGCGGCAGTCGCCACTTTGCACATGTTGCTATAAATTTTCTCATTGGGCCCACACGCCGCACACACCCGTGCCTGTGATTGTTGGACTGATACAGACCCTTTGTCGAAAAAATATGCGGAGTTGCTCGAAGCTCGCTACCTTGCAATAGCATTATAGCAAATTGAACAATTGGTTAAGAGAAAACAACTACTGGAACCTTTCATTGATGAGCTGCTCCGAAAGGTAAACCGAAAGCTGAACAGAATCAGCTATGAAACCGCGTACGCGTCAGACAACTTTTGCAGCAGCTTTCTACTAATGATTCCTTATCAAAGGAATCTTAGTGAAAGAATACAACCGTTCATGAACAGATACGGTGTCACAACAATATGTCGTTCCCCGCGTGACCTTGGGTGCTTTCTGTGTAAGAAATGGATCCTGCCATAATATGGCAACTGCAGAAGTGTATTCCCTCAGTTGCACTTGCAGTGACAGCTGCATTGGAAAAACTTGAAGTAATCTCAAAAGCAGATGCGGACGCAAGTGACCTCCATAAGAAGTGCTGACAATAATAGCTTGGCTGTGACAGAATGAAGCAGCGTTAAAAACCATGTTATCAACTTGCAGTCCAGCAAGGTGATTCGCAACCAGAGAAATTTGAGAAAACGAAAGATAGTGGAAGCCGTGACAACAGAACAAGCCAGCAACAAAATGAATGGATGGCAAGAGACGCAATCAGCATGGTTACCGCGGCTGCACCATTAGCTTTCCAATATCTCACCTTGTTTATTACTCGTTTTCCCCTTATGTTTCACCTTAAAATATAAAGTTGTCTTTGTACGACCCGACAAAACTGCCTCTGCCTCAGAATCTGTGCCGCGATTCCAGTTCCAATAAGGTGCATCATCAAAATGGTAGGGGGACTAATACGTCATTCCGAGCGTCTCCTGCAGGTGGTTCACCCCCACAAGATGCAGGATCATTGCGGATCTTGCTCCGGATCAGACGCTTGTCAGTCGATTTGAATTTGTTTTAACCCTAAATCAAAATGCATATTTTCGTTCAAACCAATGCCTCATTCAGCTTGCAACTTTTTTCGAAGGCACCTCATCTACTTTATTAAGTAGTCATCACTTTTAACTGTGACGCCAAGAAAAGAATACAAATATTTGCAGTATGGAGGGGACTTAATTACTTTTCACCTTTAACGACTCAACATTTTCAATGAAGTTCGCTATAGTAACCGAATGACAGAGAAACTTGGTGCCGAAGAACTAACTTTAAGCTTTATATTTGTTCGTTCTTTTGAAGTTTGAACTTACTATGGATAACACTTTTAGCGTACTAGCTATGCGACAACAAGTTACTGGTTATTCTTGTTATTTGCATATTACATTCATATATTTTTCATGTATGTTATCCTTCATGTTTTCTTACGCACGCGTATTTGTTCGTTCACTCAATCATTCCTTCATACAGTTAGTACTTCATTTATTCAGTCGTTCATTCATTTTGTCCATTCGTTCATTCATTCGATGACACATTAAGACGTCCGTTATTTCGCGCATTTACTAATTCACATATTTTCATAGTCATCCATTAAATCCTGGTTATTTAGCAACAACCACCTGGCCTACCGTTTGTCATACTGATTTTCATTTTCCTCATCTTCCATGACCGCTTTTCCTTTCGGGTCGCGGAGGCAGAAGCGTCAGACAGAGCTTCCAACGTTCCCGATCCTGTGCCAGACTCGAAGCTTCTGAAGAAGACAACTGCAGTCTGGCGCAGACTTCTTCCAAATATTTGTGGCAGATTAAACCTCGCCGTTCCCTGGGCCTTCTGCCGGTCTGCGAAGCAAGAAAGAGTTGCTTAGCTTTCCATTCAAGAGGCATTCCCAACACATGCCCAAACCATCGCAGCGGCGACTTCTTGGTCTGGAGAAGGAAAGGCGCTCCCGGATGTCAGTATTCCGGACCATGTCGAGACGCGTAAGGCCAGCGACTCGTCTACTGGGTTAGAAGTTTTTCAGTGATGGTCCACGACTCATGGCCGTCGGTAAGCATGGGGATAAAGATCGACTTGAATATCGAGAGCTTAGTTTTCAGACTGAGCTCTGCTTTAATCACAGTCGGTCGGGCTAGTTCACGCAGAACGCCACTGGCTACACCAATTCGCTGGTCGATCTCTTCCTCCAATTTTCCGTCACTAGTACATACAGTTCCGAGGTACTTGAATTTCTCCACCTTCTCCACTGCCTCTCCGTTAATCTGAAGAGAGCAACGGGTAGGAGAACGATGAAGCACTAGTCTATTCGTTTTAGATGCGTTCACACGCATGCCGGTCACGTCGCACTCGGGTGCAAACGTTTTCAGGGAGCACTGTAGATCAGTTTCAGTAGATGCCAAAAAACAACGTCTTCTGCAATCACCAACATTCTCCTCTCCACATCTCCTACACCGATGAACTCATCGCTTTGGTGGCTTCAGACTATTCTATCCGTGTGCAACATAAACAGCAGAGGGGGG